GCGTATCTGATTTGGATGAGAATCCCTGAGATTCGAATTGCATGAGAACAGCTGAGAGAATTGAAGGATCTAGCTATAGAATCTGAATTTCAGTTTGCGCATGTTGTTATCTCAGCTTTCTCTGGGCTTCTTGGACGCAGACAGCTCTGCTTCTGCTGACGCTTCGCGTTTCTGACGATTTTCAGCTGGCTGCACAGGAATAGATGCCTCAGAGTACTTGCTTCGCAAGTTGGCCTGCTTCTCTGGTGTCAATGATTTAAACCAAGCCTCAGCCCATTGCACAGCTGATGCTTTGGCAGTTGCGAAGGATCTTTGCGTGCCTTTGGGCATTGCTGACCCTCCCTCTGGCACAAAACTCCAGCTACGGCCATTTTTCCCTTGATGCTTTAAAGATTCAGGGAGACGAATTTGAATGAAAGGAGCTGCGCCAGCCGGGCGCCCCAGTGTCACTCTACAGCCAGCAGGCACTGTATCACGTGGCAGCGCATAATCATGAGGCTGCAGGCGCACGTTGCTGCCTCCTGATGCACGCTCCTGGGATGTAGTGGGGAGACACTGTCTTCAAATAGAATGCTTTAAAAAAATGCAGAACTCATATGAAGTGCGACGCAGAAACAGCTCGTGACCCTGATGATGGACCGGGCTTGTCATCATCTAGAGCTGTGTTCACAGCTTCATCGACCTTCTCCTTCTTGGCTTGCTCGTCCGTGGCTTGACCAGCAAGCAGACCTTCTCCTTTAGCGTTCTTGGCATTCTCAGGCGAGGCACCGGAATCATCGGCATCGTGCTCACTCATGTAATCCAGCTCCACATACAACTCGGCTTCATTTTGATGCTCTTCATCATCAGTATCTGGTTCGTCTTCCTTAGCTGCACATGGTGACCCTAAAATGCGTTGACTGCATGGATGATACATGCAGACGAAAATTTGTTTTTGCCCAGTCGCCTCTGTCTTGCGCTTTTCCCGCACAGGGATGCTGTCGACACATTCCTGGATGTATTCCTTGGACATGTTTGCGTCTGTCAAGATCATTCGTACACGTTCGCGATGATTGACCTTGTTGGCATTCTTTATGCCTCTCCAGACACAGTAGCGGGTCAATGCGCCAGCAGGGATGCTGCAAACAGTATGGTTGCACATGTAGCTGCGCAGGCTCATAGGCTGCTCGATCTCCATGGCCAGGCTTCCATCCTGCGATATGGAAGATACATTTAACCAAGAATTGAAACCTAAATGCACCAACATGAATGTTGCAGAACAGTGTCCTCCAAAACAACAGGATGAACTGGGCTGAACTCCTGACCATCCATGCGAACATCCAGAGAATCAAACACGACGGTGGTGTTTGGCACAAGAAGGAAGATTTTGCGTTCGTCATCACGCGGAGCCTGAGTCACGTGCATGCACCTGGCGCAATAGGAGGATGTCTTTAAAATCAGGCGCCATTCATCTTGGGCTGTGTGCCACATGCACGGCTCCTGGCCCAGAAGGGACACAGGCCATGCATCGTCTACTCTCTTTTCCAGTTCCTCCTCCGCGCAGGCTGCAGCTTCAAAGGATGCTCTCAGAGCTCTGAAGAGTCGAAGTCGGTCACAGAAAATGTGCGGCTTCGTGAGGTGACTACAGGACCTGTCCGAGATCAACGACTGAAGACACACGCCAAGTTCCTTGTCAGTTTGGCGCTGAGCACTGAGCACGTGCGAGCGCAAAGCTGAGAGCGAAGCATCCTCCTGCCAGTCTTGGCTGTGCAGCTTGACTGACTCGAACGGCGAACGTGTCCATCCCGATGTCACACAGGCTCCACAGACATTCACAGGACGCGTCCAGTCAGCCTTTCTGTGTCGCTTCTGGCAGTCTCTGGCATCGTTAAACATCAGTTCACACGCCAGGCTCTGTAGAATTGGCTCTTCGTTCTGTTCTGTCACACCAGCCACGCTCAAGGCGGTTTTTCTCACAGCTGTTGCTTGAGAATGATTCTCATCAAATCCAATGGACCTAAGTTGTAATGCCACAACGAAAATCACGCGTGCTGCATAACAATAACATCCCAGACACTCGGCTGCGATGTACAGCTCTCTTGTTGCCTGCCAACGCGTCCACGAGAAGAGCTTGAAAAGCAAATTCTTGGGCTTGGAGCGGTCGATGAGTCTCACCATCTGCCACTCTCTGCGAAGATCATCCAACACATCAGGCCACATACTGTCCTTCAAGCACAACACGGCCTTCCAGGGATATGATTTTGCGTAGTCATCAAGTTCGGCCATGCTCGCAAGGCAAGAGCACAGCAGCCTGAAGTGAAAGTCTAGATTCTCCGCTTGCGTTTCATCTGAAGCTGCATGAGTGGCGTTCACATACAGGAGCGTCTTTGCTGCGATGTTCTCGCTCACAATGAGGCGTAGCAACTTTTGGCATCGTGCGCCTGATGCCATGACCAGCGCCTGACGAAGCGAGGCGCTGCTGTTGTTCTGCAGGTCCGAGTTCTGGGTTGCGGCATACTGCTCAAGCATGCCATAGCACGGATGTGGTGTCATGTCTGCAGGCAAGTAGCCATGTCAGCCATGAACTTTCGTGCTGGGCCGAACACAGAAATCATGCTGCGCATCTTGTCCTGATTGATGCTGTCCGAAAGCACCTGATGACATGAGGACGGGAATGGAAGGGGAGGCCGTGGCACGCCAACCTGAGCTCAAGGCCTCCCAACTCAAAGTCCGCAGCGATCCACTGCCGTCTTCGTTGTCCAGAACCGAATCTCTGTCGTAGGGGGACTCACCGTGTTCCAAGAAACTGAACAGACATTCCAGCCATTGAAGATTCCAGGAACCTAGGGGGTCAATGACGCACAATCCTGACCCATGAGACTTTACTCTTTTGACGGGGGACTGTCAAAGCGCCGGGCATGGTCGAACCATGCAAACCATCGTCCTTCCTTCACGTCGCTTGGGGCCATGTGCAGTCCACCTGGTATGGGCTGCATGCGTGGTGGGGATCTCAGGAACTTCGATACGATTCAAATTCCAAAACCTCGAACCTTGAACTATAGAGAAGGCCTGCATTGTCAAGAAGAATCCGCAGCGTCTTCTCAGGTGTGAGCTGGGAGCTGTCAAGGTTGTGATCTCGGGCAACGCCACCACTGATGGCCTCCAGTGTGGACGTGTCGCCTGCCTGCTGCATTGCGGACAACAAGCGTGCCCGAGCGTCCAATCTCATCTGACCGAATCTGGACGAATCGTACGGGGCGCGACTTGCCCTAAAGACTTTCACCAGACGTTTGAGCAGGTCGGATGCCTCCGCAACCCGGCATATCGCGTTGGACTGCTTGCGATGCAGTTTGTGACTGATGTCACACCAAAATACGATCAGCACTCCCTGCTCAGCTAGGTGTTGGTACATCAAGAAGCCTTCTGAACCCTCGTCAGCGCTGATGATGAGCCGAGCGATATGTCTCTGACTTTCGGGATAGAAATCCTGGTGGGCTGTTGCTGTTTCGGGGTCCCACAAGAAATGGAGTTTCAGGTCTGGAGACACGCCCATGAGTTCCTTTTCCGTGGCTGTCAAGGGATATCGCACCGTCTTGCCGCATGGCATCAGGACGATGTCGGGGATGGAAGTCCTGTAATTGTAGCCTGGAAGCAGAACCTGCAAAGCATTCCTGAGGGCATGCATGAGTGCCTTCGTGCTCTGCCTGTAAGTCTTGAGATGCCGACTGAGGACGCGCAGCTGCTTGGCGGCACTGTCACCCAAACCCAAAGCTGCATCGGCAGCTTTGTTGATGGCTGCAAGTGTGCTTGAACCCTCGTGTCCGGGATTGGAGTCCGGCAGTATCTGGATCATGTTGCATGAATGGTGGTCGATCTTCAGTTCGACCGAGAGCACCTGACACGAGTGCAGTTGCAGGTTAGCGCACAGCCACAGACGCCAAAACAGCGAGCCTGCTGCTTGCAGATGCGTGCGGCGTCCATACAGAGATTAATCACCAGAGGCTCGGACTCCGTGGATGTAGAGACCTTCTGTCGGACAGCTTGACAAAGGCTGGAACACTTGCAGAGGTATCTCATGATGAACTCACTGGCCAAACGCCCCGCCACGCGAGAGTTGGGACTGACGAGTCCCAACTCCTGAAGGGACATCTCGTTCTTCGTTGAAACATACCCGCCAGATTTGCAGGCGAAACGCTTCATGAGCTGTAGCTTTAGGATCGGACTGCCCTTCTTACGAGCAGTCTTGGACATTGGATGAAAAGAACTGCAGGCAGATGGATCCGGGCAGTCGAGAAGCAAAGGTGATGCGGAGCCTCTCATGGCAAGCTCAGCTTCCTGAGCGAACACCTGCACCACGCGCCTGGTGGCGACCTGCGCATCCTCGTCCTCTCTCAGTGTCGGCGTGGAACGGCCACACAAGAGCACGAAGAGCAAGTCTCCCAACGTGATGTGCACCGCATTATTGGGGAAGTGCCTGAGATATCAGAGTGTACCACGCGGGCGCAATTAAGAACTTGCACGATTTCAGAGCCCAGGCACTGGCCGATGATGGCTACGTAGCCTTCCAATTGACCTGCTTGGAGTGCGCTACGCAAGTTCTCCAGAATAATCTTGTTGTGTTCCACATGTATCTCTGTGTCTCCTGCGTTGCGCAGAAGACAAAAACGTCTCGTCACCTGCAAATGCTCATCCCATATCTTGATAGTGCGCAATCCGTGCTTGAGGGCGTCAGCTGTGCATCCTCGGTTCTGCAGCTGACTGGCTAAGCAGGCAAGGTGACCCGCCACCGTAGCTGCATCTATGGGCAGCCGGAGGTTGTTGGTTGACTCATCCTGCGCGGCCTGGCTCTGTCCCTTGTAGACACTGCGTCTCACTACCTCGGCAAGCATAAACAGCCGGCAGCGTAACAAATAAGATTATAAGATCTGGTGGCTGCTGAGCGGCATGAGAAGGCCCGAATCCCCAGGCTCGCAGTAAAGGCAGGGTGACGCCATGAAAACTTTTCGAATACCATGCCGTAAAAGGAGTTTTGAATCTCCAGATCTCGTTGAAGCTATACAAGAACGAGTAGCCGTGCCAGGAATCTGCGGGAGCATTCTCAAGCTGCAAGACGCTGCAAACATCACGACCGGGCATTTCCAGGAATTTCCATTCATATGGCTGATTTCCTGCTGGCGCGGCCTCAGCCTGCAACGGTTCGGGAGGCCTGAGAACTAGTCGTTCCTGAGGCATGGGCAGAGGTGGCAAGGGAAGGAACATCTCCCCCTGCTGTGTGACCTTTTGCACAGCTGCTCGTAAGGTTTTCAGCGACCCTCCCGACTGCAGAAAATCCTTGAAAACAAGCGTGGCTATTCCTTCATGGAATTCTGCACACAACTCATCTGATTCTTCATCATTCATCTGCATGAGGGCTTCCTCAGCCTCCGCGACGTGGCGCTTGAGTTTCTGGCATAGCTCATCGATCGCCTGATCGAAAGACAGAGTAAATATGCAACATCACAGACAGGACTGCGTGGCGTGCCTTCTGAATGGCCGCAAGCTCGTCATCAGGCGCAAGCATCCCCCCCCCACTTCTAATGTGAAGAACGGTCTGCATGTGCGTGACAGTTCCTGACCAATGATACACCTCCCAAGTCCTCTGGAGAATACACAGTCAGGAAGCAGCAGTCAAAGTCCGCAGCATGATTTGCAACTTAAGCATGCAGGAGGCAGGCGCATGCGATGTTTTCCAGCTCAGTCCATGAAGTGAAATCCAGGCAAAACACATCCGACACCCATATTCAAGTAGTCGGTGAATGGCTTGGAGAGGGTTTCGTGATCATCCTCGTACATGCACGCCATCTCCACCTTGACCCTCCATCCGTGCGCACGATTCCTCCAGCGCAGGCTTTCCGGAACGCTGGCTATGTCAAAAACTCTTCTCCAGGACTTAGACACAGTCTGCAGCGCTCCAAAGATCCGGACGTCCACATGTGAGCCCCGGAGCCACCACGCTATGTCGTAGATTGCAGGCGTCAGACTATCGAAAGCCCTGGGTTCATTCAAAAGAACAGCACGCAGGTGCACAATCCGATCATATATGAGACCCTCACCACGAGAGAGTCCATCATAGAGATCAGACCCATCCTCCAGGCGCACGACCCACTTATACGGCACACATGTGAACCGCCAGACAGTCAAAGGGAAGTCCGGCACGGCAGACACAACATCCAACAGACCGTCCCGCAAGGCCATCCAGGCGACTGCAATCCTTTTTTTTAGTTACGCGTTTCTCGTTGCTGTGCTATCCTACAACCGCTAGGTTTTTTTTTTTACTTTTTTTTATTTTTATTTTTTTTAGTTTTCGATCTCTGCCATTCTAGTTACGCGATGAATGTTTGTTACGCGATTATTATGTTTCCTTTGCAGAGCCCCTGCTCGCATCATCAACACCATGTGTTCATGCAAAACAGAAACGATCGAGTTTCTTGAGCCGCATCAAACTTCTAATCTTTTCAAGTTGCTAAACTTGAGGTGCAGCAAAGTCAAGTACGCATGACATACCAGAGAGTTGCGCGAAGAACCTTTGTTACGCGTTCGGACTCTCTGAGTGCAGGCTGGCCAGGCTGCATCCCGTCAAAATCAGATCCGAGCCCCACGGCGAGCTACTCCTCGGATATCTCCAGGGCTCGCCTGCCTAGCACAGTCACGTGAACTAGTCCAAACATGGGGCTTCGGGCAAGAACGTCTGAGAGACTTGCGTCGGGACTTCCTGCCGCGCCGCTGTTCGGGCTTGTCCTCCGCGAGGCAACAAGGAACTCAATCGTAAGACGCAAGCAGTCTAGGTCCTTGTCCAACACCTGGAGATCACGATCGGGCTGCTCAGCCCCTAGACAAGGACCGGGGAAAGCATGTTTGCAGAACTGGGAATGCGTACAAAGTCACCCTGAGAAGAAGAACCATCAGAAGAAGCAGTGCCTCCTTCACAGTCGCCTTCCTGGGACTCCGTTGCCTGACCGAAAGCCGGAAGCAAAAGAACCCTGGTAGGGAAGCATCACAGTCTAGAGAAGTCAATGCAAGCTGACCTCACCCGCGTTCGGCGCCTTTGGCAGCACAGGCACCTGGCCATTGCAGGAAAGGCACTTCGGCACATGAAGGGACAAGAGCAATGGAACATGCATTGCCCAAACAACACAAGCAGAGTGGACCCCACACCAAAGGTAGTCCGACATACGCAGCGCAGCATGACTTGCTAGGGTTAAGGCTACAGGGCTTAAGGGTCTAGGACTTAGGGTTTAAGTTTCGACGGCTCTCTGAGAAGCCTCCGGCTCTTCAGCAGGCTTTGCAGCCTCTGCGAAGACACCTAGCAAGTGGACATGAGGAGCGAAGGGTCCAGGATTAAAGGTTTCGAATGTGGGAAGGGTTAGGGATTCAAAGGTTTAGCGTTGAAAAGCTAACGCCGTGGGAAAGAGAAAGGCTCAGTGGAAGGGATGGAGGTCCATAGGAGTCAAGCGCCAGCGAAAGAATCCCAAGGCAAAAAAGAGAGAGAGAGAGAGAGAGAGAGAGAAAGTGCGAGTGAGAGTGAGAGTAAGGCACAGGGGCTGCACAACAGTGAAGCATTGGCGCACCATCCAGGGAACGCGTCGGAGTCTCATTGTCGGTACGGCGTTCACAGAGAATCTCGTCCTGGCTCATTGCTACGCAAGCACCAAAGAAAATCCACAAGTAGTGAACCGCAAGGCGAATCTCCTGGACACTGGTAAGGTAGGCGAGGTACTTCACAAAGATTTTGCGGCCATTGAAAGACATACCAGCATGTAGATCCGTGGCCAGCTTTCCAGCCTCCTGTATGCACCGTCCCTCCTCCAAGCCAGCTCGCAACGTAGCAATAGAGTCCTGAGCACAACAGACAGCAGGAACAAGGTAGAGAAAGGAACAGATGCACACATCACACGCATGAAGTATGGTGTCCAAGAGTCCAAACCTTCAGCCTCCAAGACCTTGCAGAAAATAGCCTTGTCCGCTGGCACGCCAAAGTAGTCCGAAATGCTGGGCTCCAGAAAGGAGAGCACAGCAGGCACGCCTCCTGCGGAGGTCCTAGTTGAGGATGGCGGTGTGGTCGCAAGATTGCTCCCCATGCGGAAGCCCGGTCCCATGATGTCCGAATCAAGGCTGAGAGGCTTGTGTGATTTGCCTGGACGCTTCGTCTGCGAGGTCTCACGGTCAGAACCTGTGGAGTTCTGGTCACCCAACTCCTGAACGTTTTTTTTGTCCTTCCTACCCGGACTCTGAGCAGTCGTGGAATTGAGCTCACGCAATTCCTTCGCATTGTCCTTCTTCCAAGCGAGAACCTGGTCAGCAACCTCCTGTAGCTCCTTGGAGTCGTTGACCAATTTGCGCGCGGCCAACTCATCCACCAGGACCCTGAGAGCACACATAGAGCAAGACAACATGCAATTTTGCAAGCGCAACATGGGCACAGAAGCCATCTGGATGCCAGCAAGCAACTTCTTCAGCGCAATCAAATGAAAATGTTGGCTGATAACCATCATCTCGTCGACTCTGCAAACTCGGTTGCATGGAAACAGAGGACAGAAACAGGCTGCAAACAAGAGAGTAGTGAACGCTGAACTCTTGAGCACATGTACTGCACGAGGCCAAGAAGCGTTTATCGCAAATCATCAAAAGACGGTCCTTCCACTGTCTCTCCACAGCCGCCTCCTTCCTCAGGCAGTCCATACGATGTTGGAAGATGAGCTCGTTGGTCTTGGCAGTCTTGGTCTGACAGGTCATCTGCTTCCGCACCTGAGGATGCATGGGCATCAGGATATCATGCCACTGCATCACTAGCTGCGCAAGTATGTCACGGACTATGGCAGATGCAGAACACAGAAAGCCACGCCACGCCTGAGACACAGTGTCAGTGCAACCGAAACACCTGCCAGCAATCACCACCCAGCTGAAGCAAGGAAACCTGTGTCAGGAAACCAGTGAGGCCCGTGAGGACGGTGGCAAGCTGAGAGGCAGTGAGATCACGGAGATGCATCATAGACTTGGTGAGCTCCAACTTCTTGTGCTTCCTAGCATGCAAGGCTGCCATCAGGAAACAACATTCTGACATACACAGCAAGAGGCACATGCACAGCACAGGAAGCACAACTAGATGCAAGCCAGCAGCAAGCCAAAACCTGCAGCAACCATACGAAACTGTTGCATCTCCTGCTGCGTCCACATAGGTTCCTCCTCAGAGCTGGAAGTGGAGCTGCTATCCTCCGAGGAGGATTTCTTGCGAGCCTTCTTGCTGGATCCCTTGCCGGAGTCAGCAGCCTTGCCACGCTTCTTGCCTAAATCTTTCTTGGAGGGCTGACGGGCAACAGCACCACCTGATCGCCTGGCATTGCCTGCACTTTTCACCATAGGAGGTGCAAGAAATCCGCTAGCAAGGGAGCACAGGAATGGCGCAGATAAAGCAGAGCCCGAAGCTCCGAAGAAGCGCATGCAAAGGACATGCCACACGCAGCACGTGCAGACCACTATGACAGGGATGCCTACGGGAAGCTTCTCAACTCCGCGTCGCAAGGCCAGAATCCGAAAAGCATGAATTTGGTGCAATGGACATTAGCCCAGGCAGGCTGGCAGACATCAGGCCATAGATGATTTCAGAAATTTTTTTTTTGTAAGCTAGAGCGCAGAGCCACCCCGAGCTGGAGCCAGCGGAACGCCATTCTTAATTTACTATACCGGCTGAGATCAAAGCTAATAGGCTGCACAGGGAACGAAGCATCGCAGCCTACCGCAAGAGCACGGATGCCGAACTACCCCAAGCGCAGAAGCACCTAGTCTATCTCTATGACCTCCGGTGCACAGGCCACACCTTCGTCAGGAGCAGCAGCCAGAAAATTGAGCATGCTGGTCTGGCCCCTCGTGCGAGCATTCTTGCACTTACTGGACTTGCTGATTGTCTTTCCTGCTGCGTTCTTCTTAGAAGATTGCTGCAGGACGCGCAAGGAAATCTTGCGACAGCCTCGCAGCGCCTTGGGCTGAGACAGCGCCAATATCATGCCCTCCCATCCAGGATCTTCACCATATGGAGCCATAATCCCGAAATCCTGATCCTGAGCATCCAACATGAAGAGTAACCAAAAATGCAGCCACAACAACAATCTGGCCAGAGTCCAAGCACTCTAGAAGAACGGACAAGGGTCTTTCCAAGGAGCTTGCCCCCTCTCTGGCAACTTTTTCAGGATCTCAATGGAACACTCCCGTGCAAAATCATGAACTGAAATCCTTCCAGCCATAGCCTGCAGGACAGTTTCTTCACGAGCCCTTGCAAACGCCAGACCCAGGAGCGGCGGATACGCCGAGGAAGCTGCCAATGAATCCTTCTTCCCCACGGTCCACCTGAAAGAAAGGCTTGCCACACTTTCATGGGAATCCTACGCAATGTCCTGCAGGACAAAAACGCGTCAGCTGCCAATTATCCCAGC